TTGGCGCTGACGCTAACGGGAGACACTATGATTATCTGCGCTCTGCTAAAGCTGAGCCCAGAAGATAACCGTGATGTCCTCCATTAGCGCCAGCGCCAACAAGGAATGCTGCATTTGTGATCAGGAAATTTAACAACCTCTGTATACAATTTTTCAGCGGATTTGGTGATCTAGGCACTTCATAGATGAGCTCGCAGCCAAAACTGAGTGCATTCAAATGGCATCAGCTCAAAAAAGAGTAGCGCATGCCAGCGTAAGCCAGGTTTTCAGCGTGCGCTGGCCACGCTGGCTACACTGAATCGATGACTATACTTTCTAAACGCTCAAAACGCCAGCCGAAACTATGAACGCACTCTGAGAGACGTTTCAGTGAGGTGGCTCTCTGTCTCCGCCCACATAATAGTGTGGAATGTGCCTTCCAAGAGTTGGGGTGCATAAAGTTAAGCGGTGAAATTTACAGCTTTCACAATGACCTGAACCTAATAGGAACCCACAAAAGGAAAGGTCCAATCACGCAGTGGCTAAGAATGAAGCTGAGATCATACAGAATTCATGATTTATACGAGCCAAAGTCTATCAGAGATCTTTTTTCGGTGTAATTGTGCTGGGCGGATGTCATCGGATACATATGTCTTGAAATACAATACTTATTTGATACATCAAAAGACAAGCCGGCATCGGGCCTTCAGGATCTTCGATTTCTCGGGACTACAGACGCGAGAAAAAAAACTGAGGGAGAAGAACGGCTCAAAAACATTCATTCTAATTGGTTCACGATGCTCACGATTAAAAGGCAAACTATATAAGAAGCGATAGTCCGTTCATGAGATAATTGAGGTAGAACAGGAGTCCTCTGAATAATTTGTTGGCAACTCGCCAAGTTTTCATAACGGACACAGTCCAACCAACTAATAATGCTCCACTGAATTTGCCCATTCCGCCTTCACTGCATCAGATTGACAGACTACCTACTAACTTCCAACGTAACTAACTGCTACGATGCGACCGGAATTTCAAAGAGTAGGGAATCCTATATTCACTGATCACGAAGTACTTCAAAGAGGATGAGACAGCTCCTAACGAGTTTCTATCGGAAATCGGCCCTGTTCGGCTTGGTGGGGGCATTTTGGTGGTTTTCATTGATCATTGCCGATGCCACGCGCGCAGACCTGTACATTCTTGTAAAGCTATGCTGTAGCCCAAGCTTCCTTTGCAGTTGACAAGCATGTACAGGTCACATCAGGATGAGACGTGTAATTTAACGGGAGCTAGGAAAACAATCTGGCGAAAGTGCAACATGCCCCCCCAAGCCGAACAGCGCACAAAAACCTAGCGTATCGGTGCATTGAATAGTCCAAAGCAATGTATTACAACAGTTCCATAGTTCCACTCTAATCTTAAGCAGAGGGGAATTTTAATACAGTGAATAAGTACTCAGTTATCTCTACTATTCCATGTACTATACTATACTATACTCTCTATACTATACTATACTATACTATACTATGCTATACTATGAAGATATACAGTCAATATTGCTGCAGCTCTAATAGTGCCCTGAGCAATGTGGTAGGTGAATTGACGCAATGGTGCTCCCTACGTTAGAATATCAGCCTTACATGCAGCGCTCTACCATTTTTCACCAATGGACAGTTCTGGAATCGTAAGCGTCTCCTATACAATATACAGCTTTTGATTTTTCATAATCGCACGGTCCAGTATGTAATCATCCTTTTTCAAGATAGTGGACCACGCCATTAAAACACTCTATATCTCGGTGAATGGGGGAGCGGCGTGCGGCTGCTTGCCACCGCATTTAAGCGCTGTTGATGTTTGCTCTTTGTTTCTATATATATATATATTATTTATATATTTCTTTATTGTTAATATTTCACGGCAGTAACACATCATGCTGCCATGGGTTTCTCTCTATTATATGTATGTTGGCACGCCCTTGCCCATATTTGGCGATATAATGACTTCTTCAATGTCAAGGCCGTCGAATATGTGACTGCCATCGTGTTCAACCACGCACAAACACTCTTATTTTATATGTCTACTGGTGCGTTGATGGTTGTGATTGGGTGGGGGTGGGGTGGGGGGGTATGTGGGGCGGGTTTTGCTGTGCCACCCGCCATTAACGCTGTTTGGTTGTATGTGTGGCTTTCGGAGTTGTCTGGTGATTTGGAGATATGAAATTTGTGTGGTCTGAGTGGTGTTGGTGGAAAGTGTATCCACGTTATAATAACTACAGTGATGTATATATTGTCTCTATATATGAGTATTTTTACTTGGCCACGCCTTTCCCATATTTGGGATATAATGATTCTTCAATGTCAAACCGTCGAATACGTGACTTTCATCGTTTTTCATTATTTCTCTATTCTATATACTTATTTTATTCTATGTGTGAATGGGGAAGGGCGTGGCTCTTTTATGGTCCTTTATTATATTCTCTCTTGTTTGGTGTTTGATGTGGTGGTCTTTTGTCTTATATAGGTTATAGTTAATTGAAGATTTCTGTTGCGAATGCGGAGATAATGCTGCGTATTGCCAAAAAACTCATCATGGCCATGTCCCAAATGAGATTTTATCTATTCGCTTTTCCTCCCCATTATTTGGGATATGTGTATATCATTATATATATCTCCTCTTCTCTAGAGTGTGTTGTGTTGCTTTCTGAATGTTCTTATTCCTCTCATGAGTGTGAGATGGCTCCGAAGTCGTGTGCTTGGGTTAGAATTGGTGATTTAAAGATAGTCGGCTTTATATAGCTGTCCTAATGGTAATACACGTGGGATCTTCACCTGGAAAGGTTGCGATAAGCTACATAATGCTTGCATGAATGATGAATGCCGCTTAAAAAGAAAGAAATGCAAGCTCAGGTAAAAAGTCGAGGGGATAGAAGATTATGCATAAGATATTTGTATAATATCTTCAATCGTAGTCGGATGTTAGATGTGTTCAAGCCCGTACTTATTTCAAGTATACGGCCGTTATAACTGTCAATGATGATGTGAACTTAAGAACGTCAAAGTACCTAAGTCAACCACGTCAAGTAAACAGTTCGGCTTGGAGGGGCATTTTTCATTTCTTTTCTTTCCTTCCGTTAAAAAAGAAAATAACAGCTCTCACTTGGGTAGACTTGTAAACTCTTGTAAAGCGATACATCAGGTCTTGACAAGGTGGCTTGTACATGATCCGCTGAGTGCTCATCTAGTATTCAGTGCCCCCACCAATCCAAACTGCGCCGGTCAATTTTGAGGTTGAGCAAAAAATTCCTAGGATTTTTTCGAAAGTTCGATTTACCCGATTCTTCATAGATTTTTGTTTTGATTTTGTTTTTTTTTGTTTGCTCTGTGTTTAGTTTTGTTTATGTTTATTTAGCCCATTAATTTCAGCTAAGAGTGTTTATTGAATAATTTGAGTTGTATTTGTGTTGGCGCGCAATTGTTTGAGGAAATCTTTAGCGATTTTTGAAAACTAACGAGAAGAACCAATTCGGACAAATCCAAGAAGACAAGATCTCGAAGACTTGCTGTCCCGCCCAGCCATCCAATAGAAATCGACCATATAGCTCGATTCACGCAGATTCGAACTTCCGAAAGACGATTGTTGAATGCCGGAACAGCGGTTGAGCTTATTCCAAAGAAAAGTTATTGTTCGTTTATTGTTTTTCTACAGAACTTTTTGCTCAACCTAATGAAAGAAAAAGTAAAAAAACTCTTGCTGACTACACCATTTTCTGGAGGAGACGGTCAAGACAATCGTAGTTTGCCGCTCCGTCGCGCGTGCCGATGGACGCGGCATTTTCTTAGGTTGCACAAGCCTGTCGAATAGAGCATATATTTCACGTAGACTATGTAGACATTTATGGCTATTTTTGATTCTATCTTAACTCTTTTGGCCATCTATGACTTAGAAACATCGTAATTTGCGGGCGCGACGTCGCACGCGATACCTCTCGATGCGGTGAATTACGATTGTCTTGTCACACAACAATTTTCTGGGGTATAAGGCACACCCGTGTACATATAGGACGCACCATCGCCAGATTTTTTTCTTTTTTTCCTATTTTTTGCTTATTTCTGCCCAGGTGGATGATTTTCACTGTGTGAGAATTGCCTGAAAACCTTTTGGAAGACAAAAATATGCATTGTGGTGTGTTAAGAAACATTTCGTGTGATGCTTGCGGCTCTGCGACCCCAATGGATGCGCCTCATACTCCAGGGTACTTTGACTTTCCTTAGATCCTCCACTTCCCTACTTATTTTGCAAACTTGTGCCTATACCTAACTAGAGTGAGAGCGCGTTCATTCGCGATCGGATCGCTTGGGGCGCGCGATTCAATCGGTCGAGTTATACGAGCGATCGCGTCGTGAAGTATGAACGCGCTCCGAGAAATGAAAGAGCAGGTTCAAATGTTCTCAGACGGCCAACTTGTTCTCTCCAGTGGTGCGGCGCAGTTTCCTTTCCTCGCGTTCACCCGCTTCTGGGTTACCGGCCGGAGTTTTCTTTCGACGTGGCGAGTCGACGGGTTGCTCATTGTACCATTATAAGCTCAAGGCCTAAACAACAGATATGCTCACGCAGGTGGTAGTGGACAGGTCATATGGAACTGAACTCTGTGAGGGTCTCATATCTCATAAATAGAGCAGCTGAATTTTTTATTGGACCAATAAAAAGAAAGGTCGTTATTTGGCATATCCGCAGTGGTGAAATACGGGTTACACATGGCAATTCTTTCTTATTTGTAGAGAGACAGTGATGAAACAATTGAGCTGGACATTGAGTTCAAAGCGGGGGTCTTGTCACCCCACCACCCCCCCCCCACCCACACCAACTACGTATGCCCACACACAACACCATTTCAAGCTCTGACGAAGACGAAGAGCTAAAAAGTAAGCCTAATGAAGTTAGCACACAGAAACCGTTTCCGTTCAGGCATTCCGTTGGTACTTGCGATTCTTTCACGATTTGGCCAGTTTCTGGAGCATACGATCACTCGTCAATGGCTGAAACATCGCGATAAACTCAAAATGGCTCACAAGAAAACGAAAAAGTATTTGAAGACAGAGCAAAGGTAGCCTCAGCAATAGTGTACAGAGAGAGCATTGTTTTATGCAGTTATGTGCGGCATCTACTGTCCATATCACGATGCTTGGAGAGGGCGTGTCCCAATTAGTTGTAGGCATGCCGGCGTTGAACTGTTAGGTGGCAAAGGCATAGACAGCGCTCGCTCAAGAAACCGCAGACGATTCGAGAAGACATTAGTGCACCTTTCATCACCCTCTCAGGGTTCACGGATACTCAGCCTCGCACACAACTAAGTCTGTAGGCACGCCCACTTCCAAGCAGCGTGATGTGGATTACAGTTGGGTTCTGATACTAAAAATACTTCAGTGCATCACTAAACGATCTCGAAGAAGGGAAACACGTCAAAGAGGGAAAATCGGGTTCCCTCGAAGATCATCTGATAGAAGATTCAAGGTTGGTTCCAATTTCCTGGAGATTCATTATTTTACATTTCATTTTTGGCCCAAAGTAAGAGTATTCAAATTATTTAGCTCCATATTTTGTGAATTCCTTACAATTCGTAGAATTCGCAACCGAAGGATATGTTTTTAATTGATACATCTGATACATTAAATGTGTGCCCCCCCCCATTCCTCCACTGTGCATACATTGTCGTTGTGGAATCCACATCAGGGGATTGTGTTCGGCTGTAAGGGAGGGAACGGGGCCACAGTTAGGAAGCTACATTTACGGGAAGAGTGTAGCGATGTTGTGGGGGAACTGTGATTCCTGAGTTTGTCCCCTCGACGGGACGATTTTTCGAAAATTTTGGAGCATATGTCGTTCACTGAGGACAATACCGGTATGTTATGTAAGGAAGTCGTATTTAGACCTCGTTTTGGATAGGACTCGTATCAACCCTAACAGTTTCCACATCCACGAGATTCTTTTCTGCTCCTCCCCTCCTCCAAAACTACCGGAAAGCCGCTAGCGCCTCCGAAATTTGTTGGCTGACCCTCGACCTCCTCTGAATTTTGCCTGAGACGTTGATTAACAGAAGCGCACAAGCTAACAGAGTTCCACTGTTCAATGTTCAAAGCAATAACTCATTAGTACGCGTCCGGGATCCTTAAATGGGGATTTGGCGGCGGTACTCGGGCACTTCGAGGTAGAGGACCTATAATAACGACGAATATTTCATTCACCTACCAACTGTCACAAAAAGCAAAAATAAAGAGGGGCCTGGTTTCACATAGGCGACATCGTTTTCGACAAAAGAAGGTTCACACAACCCAGAACTCCCTTCCCCTTCTAGGCTCAGGTTAATGTCCTCATTCCCTTGGATCACGACCGTTTCTTTGCAACTTTTAGTGCCAAATGAAGTCCATTATGAAGGAAGAGCGGCGCTAGCATAGCTTGTGCGGGGTGTGGGATATGGGAAAAAAATCAACAATTTAGAACTTTCTTCTCAATACTTCCCCCGTTACCCCTCCTCCCCCC